CCCAGACCCCATCTTCCCGCATCGAGCCAGATCGATCTGTGAGTGTCCTGGGGTCCGAAACTGAAAGAAAACGCCCGTCGTGACAAACATTGCCATGCCAGGATCTCGGGGATCATGGTCAGGGCCATGATATCCCCCCGCATTTCGTGGCCCCCTCTTCTTTCAGCTTGTCCTCTGGACCCCCCCCGCGTCCGCGCAACCGCCTCGGGCCCTGATTGGCGACCCCCCTTCTTGGACGCTCCCCTCTTCTTAGGCGCCCCCCGAGAAGGGAAAGCGAGGTAATCATGCACCACCGGCGGCCTGCGCGGATTTCTTGCATGGGCGCTGGGCCCTCTCTCGCAAGGGCCTCTGGCGCCGGTCCTGGTGCCAGTCCTGGCGCGCTGGGCGCGCCAGGGGCCAGGGAAGGAGGGCCCAGAGTCGCTCCGTCAGCCTCCGAGAGTTCTGCATCTTTCTGCTTCCTGTAGGCCCAGCCCTCGACCTCTTTCTTCCGTGTCGTCCGCCCAGGCGATGCGGAAGGTAGTGGTGCAGAGTTGTGTCTTGAATGTCTCTGTGTGTCTTGTTTGTCTCCAAATGTCTTTATACGTCCGTCATGATGTGTCATTGTCTTGTTTGTTTTGGAGTGTCTTTATCTGTATGTGATGATCTATACATATATTTGGGCGGGCGACATGGACGAAAGGTCGAGGGAGACTTCGGCGAGAGTGTTTTTTTCTAGTCCCTGGCGTGCTCGCTAGAGTTTGGCCCTCGGCCGCGCTACCGGGCCCGGGACAGTGGAACGGGGATCTGGGGCGGAAAGCCACGACATCCCCCGAGTGCCGACGTGGCGAAAGAACTGCAGCACCGTAGAGAATACCACGCCCAGAGCCCTAGAGCCCTCAGGAGGGAAAAAAACACACAGACACAATTAATTCTCGATTCCCACGAAAATATGGGAAAACATGGGAATTGGGGGGGAAGACGAAAACCCAGAAAATATGGGAAAATATGGGGACTGTTTTTATTCGTGTGTATTGATTTGTGTGTCCTAAGTTCCCTTTGAGCCCATGTTTTTTGCGCCCTTTTTTCGAGCCGCGGGTCGATCTGCGAGGGCCCCTCGGCCCGAACATGGGCGCAAACGCCAGGGTCGAAGCACTCGAGACGCCAGGGTCTCAGGGGACAGCATCTCGTGATTGGCCTGTTTTCCACCACCACCACCATAAGTTGGAGGGGGGGAGGAGGAGGAGGACGAGGAGAAGGAGGACGAAGAAGAGGAGGAGGAGGACCCCCTCCCCGAAACTCCTGGGCCCGTTTTCTCGGTCCTTTTCGGCCCCCGCCCCTCCCCTTTCGAAGCCTAGGCGGCTTTCCCTTTGTCCTCCTGGCGGGGGTCTGTGTCGGGGGGTGGTCCCCCCTAGGCGCTTCGGGCGCGCGCGCGTAGCTCGGGCCGCGCGGACGGCTGCGTCCGACAGGACATCGAGCCGATAGCGATAGCGATAGAAACCCCCGGGGAGGGGCGGGGGCCGAAAAGGACAGAGAAAACGGGCCCAGGAGTTTCGGGGAGGGGGTCCTCCTCCTCCTCTTCTTCGTCCTCCTTCTCCTCGTCCTCCTCCTCCTCCCCCCCTCCAACTTATGGTGGTGGTGGTGGAAAACAGGCCCATCATCTCGCTACTAGCTGTGTGAAGGGTTTTCAGCAGTTCATCTTCTTCCATCTCAGGGGTTACGCTATCCAGCGCGGATCTCAGAATCGGCGTCCCCCCAACATACTTATACTATGTGTTCGTCGCCCCCCCAGAGGCGACGCGCGCACCGAGAAATCTTATAGTATATGCGTCGTGGCGGGCGCTTTCTGGCCACACCGCTCGGGAAACGATATACTACAAGATGGGTATACTATATGTTCAGGTCGGACGCGCGCCTCCAAGGAGGACATACAGTACTAGTATGTCTTCGTGCATCCCATAGCTGTGTGAAGGGTTTTCAGCAGTTCATCTTCTTCCATCTCAGGGGTTACGCCATCCAGCGCGGATCTCAGAAGACTCCTACCTCCCAGGATGCCCCACTGACCAGCAGCTCAGAATCAGACGACGGGCTTCGGGTACCGGGGCCGTCCTAGATCGGTCGGGCTCGAAAAGTGCTGCAGGCAGATGGGGTCCGGGGCTCCTGTCGTGTGCTTGTTGTTTTTGTTGTTGTTTGTTTTTTTTATTGGATTTCATTTTGTTTTGGCCACGCGCAGAACGGGGTACGGGGGAGGGGGGAAGGCTTCTTCGAATCACCCCTATTTCTTAGGTGGCGCGGGCCTTGTCTACGGATGTAGGGCCGGCGCCCCTTCTAAGAAGCAACCTCTTCCTGAGAAGCCTTCCCCCCTCCCCCCTACCCCCCTCTGCGCGCCGTCAAAGGTGAGCATCCCAGTCCCCTGCCTCCCCGGGTTATGCAACAAGTCACGACGGTATTCATTTTTCCGCACTTCCGCCCCTGGGGGCCCTCGCTGGGCCTCGGGACCGTCCATAAACGACTCAGGGCGAAAAACGGATACCAGGGAATGGGTCGAGACCTTTGGGGGTCGACGGCATGAACTAATCATGACGTCGGGGGACTGGGGACGGGTGTAGACCGCACGGGCGTTCGTTCGCGCGTCAGCTGCCCGCGTGAGGTCGCGCGCAAGCGTCTTGTTTTTTTTGTGCGATGTGCTGCACTGGTGGCCTGCGCTCGCCATCGCGTGAGGCCCCCCGTGTCCCCGTGCGCAGTGCCATCTTTCTCTTCGCCGCTCAGGTGGCGGGGCCCCTGGCGGGCAGCCTGCTACGCGCGAGGGGGCGGCGGGGCGGGCTGCCAAGGGCGATGCAGACAGCAGCAGCAGCAGCGGCAGCTCTGCGGGCAAGCGCCGCCCTGGCCCGCGTCAGCAAGGCGCCCGTGCCGCCGGCAGCGCAGGGAGCGACAGCAGCTCGCTGAAGTCTGTGCCTCTGCCCGACCTCTCGGCCGCGACGGGCGGGGCGGCCGGGGCCGCCGCCGCGGAGAGCGACGACAGCACCCCGGTGGGGCGGCCCGCAGCCCGTGCTCCGAGTGCGCACAGCAGCGACAGCCCCCCCACTGGCCGCAGGGCGGCGAGGGCCCCGGCCGCAGACAGCAGCGACAGCAGTGCCGCAGGGGCTCCCCCTGCCCGAAAGCCGACCAGCCACGTGGCCGCGGCGCCCGCCGCAGATGGCAGCGACAGCGACAGCAGCGCGGCCCCGGCCAGCAGGCAAGCTGCGGGCAGAGGCGGAGGTGGGCCACCCCGGGCAGACAGCAGCGACAGCAGTGCCATGGCCGACAGGCCAGCAGCCAGCCAGATGGCGGCCAGGGCCCCTGCCGCAGACAGCAGCGACGGCAGCGAGGCAGCCGCAACCGCCGCGATCCGACAGAGGGCTGGCGCTGCCACAGCCGCAGCCCAGAAGGCAGTCGCGGGGTTGTCTGATAGCGACAGCAGCGTGGGGGACGCCCCCCTTCCCGACGAATCGGCCGCGCCCCGGATGGGACCGGGGGCCGTCGAGGCAGGCGGCAGTGCGCCTGCAGCCACGACAGGTGCACTTGCGGCAGACAGCAGCGACAGCTCCATGGGTGGCGTTCCCTCGCCTGACGCGTTGGGTGCAGTCGGCGATGCAATAGGGGTTGGCCCATCAGCCTCTAACAGTAGCAGCGGTGGCAGCGCTGCTCGCGGCGGCGGCAGCGGCGGCGCGGGTCAGCCTGGAGCTGCAGCCTCCAGGGCGGATGGCGGCCGTCTGGCGCCAGATGCTGCGCTGCCAGAAGGCTGGGAGCGACTCATTGACCCAGCCACCGGCGACGAGTACTACGGCAACCTGCAGACGGGAGAGTCCAGTTGGGAGCTGCCCACCGCCGCAGCGGCCACGGACGGCGGGGCAGGGTGTGGGGCGCTCGAGGTGGAGGCAGCTTGCAGCACGCCCTCGCCCAGCGGCGAGTCGGCCGCCCGCACGGGCTTGGCCCTGGCGAGGGGCGACGACCACGGGCAAGGCGCTCACCAGCGGGCAGGCAAAGGGCTGGCCAGGGCGCCCGCGGATGCCACGACGCCTCCAGCAATGATGGCGACGCATCAGGCAAGGCAGTCCAAGATGCGCCCCATCACCTTGACCCAGCTCGGCCCAGATGGTAATCTCTCCAGATGCCGTGTCGCCAGCGCAGCGGTGCCGCACTACACAGTAGACAGCAGCAGGTCGGCCAGCTTCGTCACGCCGAGCAGCCGCAGCGGCGCTGTGCTGCCCAGCCAGAAAGCCCCAGGCGAAGTGCAGGCTGGGGCTCCTGGCATGGCCACGGCGCTTGCGGCGGCGGCGACGCAGTTGGCAGGGCAGTCCAAGAGCCAGCCGGTCAGTTTGAGTCAGCTTAGCCCGGGCGGCCATATCTCCAAACGCCGTAGCGCGGGTGCCGCGGCGCTGCCCTCCGCGGGAAGCAGCAGGTCGGCCAGCTTCGCAACGCCGAGCAGCCCGAGCAGCCCTGAGCCCGAAGTGCGAGCTCCCTCGCCATCCTGGCTGGACCAGGAGCGGCAAGGGGGCGCACGGTTTCGCCCCGCGGCTCGAGGCGTGGCGGGCCCCGCGTCTGGCCTCGAGCCTCGGAGGGCCGCCGCGAGGGGCGGGCGGTCGCAGTCCTGTTCGTGGCTGCGCCAGGGCTCAGCGGGCCTCGGCGGCCTGGAGGAGGCCGTCGCCAGGGGCGGCCCGCGGGAGGACCCCGCCCGACCGCGGCGGGGCGGCGCTGGCCGGCGGCAGCCCAAGGAGAGCCCGCAGGGCGGGCAGGCGCTTGGTCGCCGCGACGCCTCACGCCTCCTGGCGCCGCCGCCGGGGCCTCGCCCAGCCCCGTCGCCGCGCGCCGCGTGCAGCGAGAAGGCCCCCCCGCTCTGGAGCGCGCCGCGCGGCCCGCCCGGCGCGTGCGGGGGCTCCCCCCTGTGCGCCGCCGCGGCGCTGGGGCACCTCGAGGTTGCGGCGCTGCTGCTGGGGGCCGGCGCGAGCCCTGGCGGCGAGCACGCGGCCGCCGCCTGCGCGGCCGCCTCGGAGGGGCACCTGGAGGTCCTGGCGCTCCTGCTCGGGCACCGCGAGCTCGCTGCGCCGGGCACCGGCGCCTCCGCCGCGGCGGCGCAGCCGATCCACTGGGCCTGCGGCGCTGGGCACGGCGAGGCGGCGGCCTTCCTGCTGGACCACTTCGGAGTCCCGCTGAACGCGCCAGACGAGCACGGGATGCACGCAGTCCACTGGGCTGCAGATGCCGGCCGCCACGGGGTTGTCAGCCTCCTGCTGGACCGGCGGGCCTGTGCCGATCTGACGGCGGGGCAGCGGGCAAGCGGGGAGGCCGGGCTGGTCCACTTCGCAGCGCGCTCGGGCCACTGCGAGGTCCTCTCTCTGCTGGCCAGGCGCAAGGCGTGCATGGAAGCGCGCATGCAGGAACTCCCGTGCCGAGAGAGAAGTGCCGCGCGTGCCTTGGCTCTTGCACAAGGGGTTGGTGAGAGACAGGAGGAGGAATGGAGGATGATGGGGGGCCTCGGGGCCTTCCTGAGGCCTTCGCGGGACTCTGTGGGAGCCTTTTATGGAGATCTTGAGAGCCAGTCGGGCTTGCTGGGGCTGTGGGGGCTCAAGTGGGCTGGTGCTGGCGGGAAGCGAGGGCCCTGGCCAAAGGTGAGAGGGGGCATGGCCAGGGGAGTAGGGGCCAGGGCCAGGGGACGTGAAACGACCGACGATCGACGAGGATGAAATTTTCCTAGCAAAGCACCCAAGCGGCATAACAAAAAAGGTTAAGAGCTGCTTCGAGGAGCAGGATGTCTGCTAGTGAAAACGTGCATTCCCAGGCATTCCCATAATTTCTTAGAACGAAGAGCGGAGGGTGTTCAGTTTTGCACGCGGGAGCGGGGAGTCGGAAGCGCGTGAGGGGACTGCTCTTGAATGTGCAGTAAGAGTCGTATGTTGGAGCAGAGTCCTGGCGACAGAAGAGATGGAAGCGTGGCAGGATTTACATTCTTCTTGTCGGAGCAGTACGCGGGAATGGAGTTCTGGCAACGCGCAGAGCAGGTAGGGGGTCGGTAGGCAGGTAGGGGGTTTCTCCAGAAAGAAACTATCCAGCCCGTACACTGGTGAGAGCACGGCCATGTGCACCGTCATTTTTTTTTTTTTTCTTCTCTTTTTTTTGTTACAATGGATCGTGGCCGTCCGGACCAAGCATGTAGCTGGCATAAGAGGCGAGAGCACGGTTCCTGAAGTAATTCTGTAGCACCCCGCAGTTGCTGATAAGATTGAGGGGGGCGGCGGGGTCGTCGGAAGTCTGCCCGCCGCAGGCGCCTTCAAACAAGTGATGCAACAAGCCCGCCGCAGGCGCCGAAGTCTTCGTCAAAGCAAGTGGGGGGGTCGCGGGTGGGTCGCGGGTGGGTCGTGGGGTGGGTCGCGTGGGGGGGGGGGGTCGCGGGTGGGCCGCGGGTGGGTCGGGGGTGGGTCGCGGGTGGGTCGCGGCTGGATCGCGGGCTGGGTCGCGGGTGGGTCGCGGGTGAGTAGCGGATGTGTCGCGGGCTCGGCCGCGGGCGGGTCCAGGGTTGGGTCGCGGGTGGGTCGCAGGTGGGTTGCGGGTGAGTCGCGGGGTGGGTCGCGGGTGGGTTGTAGGTGGGTCGCGGGTGGGACGCGGGTGGGTCGCGGGTGGGTCGCGGGTGGGTCGCGGGCTGGGTCGCGGGTGGGACGACGTCAACAAACAACAAACAACAAACACCTAACAACAAACAACGATCAACAAACACCACCACCACAACAACATCAACAACGACGACAACAACAGCACCACTAACAACACCAGTAGCAACACCAACACCACCAACAATAGCAATCACAACAACAACACCAACGCCAACAACAGCAACAACACCAGCAACAACAACAACAGCAACACCACTACCAACAACAACAACACGCACAACATCAACAACATCATTAACACCACACATTTTCAGACTGTCCGCTCTTATCGGCGCGCGTGCCATTCATCACGTGTATCCCAAACCGTCGATACCCGCCCTCTTCGTCTTTGAATGTGCCCCCCTTCGAGGCATACCTTTCTCACCTGCAATGTACATCTCGTGCAGCCCCTAAAGCAGGGGAAGAGAGGACGGATGCAAGGAAGGGACATTGGGGAGGGAGGAGGATGGAGCACAAGAGAGAATAGCAGTAGGGGGGCTAGGAGCAGAAAAAGACCTGGCAAGACCAGACGGACAGATCGGGCGGGAAGACCCTAACGGGCGGGTCGGGAAGGCGGGCCCAGACGGCCAGGTCGGGCAGGCGGGTTGCTGAAGCGTGCGTCCTGAATGGATCGCGAGGAAGTCTCGAGCGACAGCACGGTTCCCAAATACATCGTGAGGAAGTCCACAGGGAGAGCGTAGTTCCTGAGTGTCGAGGGCGCGGTTTTCGAATCAAATGTAAGGAAGTCCCACGCGAGAGCGCCATTCCTGCAGAATTTGTGAGGAAGTCCCTCGCGAGAGCGCGACCTGGGAATACATGGTGAGGAAATATCAGGCGGGAGTTGTTGTTGTTGTTGAACATTATTTATTCTAAAGAATAATTATTGTTGGGCCCCCTGGTGCGCGCCCCCCCTGCGCCGCCTAGGCCGCAGCTACATTTTCATCATTTTCGTGAGGAAGCCTCAGAAAAGAGGGTGTGTACAGGATCCGGTTGTTTTGTTGTAATCCGCTTTCCCTTGCAAAAAACAATAGAAAATGACATTTCTTGTTCTAATATAATCAAATTTCAAGAATCCCTTGCAAAAAATAAGGTAAAGTGGACATTCGCGCGCGCAAGACGAAATCCTTCCAAAACCTTAGTGTTCGCAGCGATTTTAACATAAAAACATCAAAAAACCAATGGTTTTTCAACAAAAAAATGTCAAAATCTCATCCCGCGCGCTCTTGCGGATTCGTAGGAAACCCAACACTTTTTAAACATTTCTGTCAAACGGGCTTTTGCGAGCAACTTTTTCGAACTTCTGCAACAACGGTTGCGCACCTGCCAGGGCCATCATCCCTGTCAAATAATACCATGCGGGACACATTCGTTTTTTCTTCGCGCGCGCACGCCGTCGTCGTCGGCCGCGGGGCCCTGAATAGTAGCCACGGTCGTCCGCATGCCACGAAGTGAAGTGTCCGAACGTCATAGGGCGGGAAGCTGGGTGTGGGTGGTGGCGAAGAGTCGTTTGGAAATTTGGTAGAGCTTGAACCGGCCCCCCCACAAAGTGGGGGTATTGCCCGCCTCCTATGAAAACCCTGGCACTGGTGAGAACGGAGTGTCCCCACGTGCTAGTAATTGTTGTTGTTGTTGTTGTAAACAAGGGGCCATGGGCGCAGTTTGGTGACACTTCATTTTTTCTATATGTAAAAAAACAGGATGCGAGCCCAGGGAAAAGCATTTTGATTGACAAATATTGTGGCCACCGGGCAGGTGGGATCAATAATGAGTATGCCTCAGAAGTGAGAAGTCAACTCCAGCAACAACAACAGCAGCAATAGCAACAACAGCAACAACAACAACATCCCTATCAATATCATCAACACCAATTCCAGCAATAACGCAACGACGACGACAACATCATATCAACAACAACAGCACTAACAACAACACCATCAACAACACATACGACAACAACAATCCGCACCGCGGAACTCCACTTCAGCCACGCACCCAAGGACAGTGAATGACCATTCGGCCCCTCACTCTGACCTATACGACCACCTTTCGGGTATAATGAGGTTCGGATCTCACAACCGATTTCCGTGGATCGATCTCATTATCGATTGCACTATCGCTTTCACGACCGTTCTCTATATCGATCTCTATCGATGTCACTATCGGTCCTGTTATCGATATCACCTTTGTTTTTTCCTATCGATTTCACTATCGGCCTCACTACCGATCTCACTTTTGATATCACGATTGATCTCCTACGGGGCACCGACGGGGCACCGACGGGACACCGACGGGACACCGACGGGACACCGACGGGCCACCACGGGACTCCACGGGACACCATCGGGACACCACGGCGGGACACCTCCGGTACCCGCCTGCCTGCCAACCGGGGGGAGGCGGACTTCTGCCCCGACGGCGCCATAGCAATAGAGGATTCATTCCTCTCGCCCGCCCACACAGCTTCGCCTCGCCCGAATGAACGACACGATTACGCTACCGAGGAACGCCACATTCTTATATCATGGCTGGAGTGATGATAGCTGAAGTGGAGCATGTGAGAATGATGTTGGTGGCCGTTGCCCCGCCATACCGTTGGTGACGCCAGTCAAGAGGAGAGGTGGAAGAGGAGAAGCGCCGCGCCAGCCACACTTTGCGAGCCCGAAACAGATAGCGACCGCACCCCCAAGGCACCCCCTTGTGGCGTCGAGAAAGTGCCACGCCTGCCACGCTTTACGAAATCGAAGCGGATAGTGACCGCACCCGTGGTGCACCCCCTGTGTCATCGAGAACGTACCGCGCCTACCACGCCTTGCGAGCCCGACACGGATAGCGACCGTACCCCCAGCGCCCCCCCTTTGTGGCGTCGAAGAAGTGTCACGCCTGTCACGCTTTGCGGGCCCGAAACGGATAGCGACCGCACCCTCAGCGCACCCCCCCTCTGGCGTCGAGAAAGTGCCACGCCTGCCAACGCGTTGCGAGCCCGAAACGGTGAGTGACCGTACCCCCAGCGCACCCCCTGTGGCGTCGAGGAACTGTCACGCTTGCCACGCTTTGCGTGGCCGAAACGGGTAGCGACCGCACCCCCAACGCACCCCCTGTGGCGTCCAGAAAGTGCCACGCCTGCCACACGTTGCGCACCCCCAGTGGTGTCGAGAAAGTGCCACGCTTGCCATGCCCTGGACGACCGTCGTGCATAGCGGCCGCGGTGAGGGACCACCCCCTGCGCACCCCCTATGGTGTCGAGAAAGTGCCACGCCTACTATGCCCTGGACGATCGTCGTGCATAGCGGCCGCGCTGAGGGACCACCCCCTGTGCACCCCCTATGGTGTCGAGGAAATGCCACGCCTGCTATGCCCTGGACGACCGTCGTGCATAGCGGCCGCGGTGAGGGACCCCCCCCTGCGCCCCCCCTATGGTGTCGAGAAAGTGCCACGCCTGCTATGCCGTGGACGACCGTCGTGCATAGCGGCCGCGTTGAGGGACCCCCCCCTGCGCACCCCCTATGGTGTCAAGAAAATGCAACGCCTGCTATGCCCTGGACGACCGTCGTGCATAGCGGCCGCGGTGAGGGACCACCCCCTGTGCACCCCCTATGGTGTCGAGGAAATGCCACGCCTGCTATGCCGTGGACGACCGTCGTGCGTGCCGTGGACGACCGTCGTGCGTAGCGGCCGCGGTGAGGGGCCCCCCCTGCGCACCCCTTATGGTGTCGAGAAAATGCTACGCCTGCTGTGCCCTGGACGACCGTCGTGCATAGCGGCGCGTGGACGCACCCCCGTCGAAAATGCCACGCCTGCTATAGCGGCCGCGGTGAGGGACCACCCCCTGCGCACCCCCTATGGTGTCGAGAAAATGCCACGCCTGCTATGCCATGGACGACCGTCGTGCATAGCTGCCCTGGCACCACGGATAGCGGCCGCGGTGAGGGACCCCCCTGCGACCCCTGAGAAAATATGCCATGCCTGCTGTGCCCTGGACGACCGTCGGATAGCGGCCGCGGTGAGGACCACCCCCTGCGCACCCCTATGGTGTCGAGAAAATGCCACGCCTGCTATGCCCTGGACGACCGTCGTGCATAGCGGCCGCGGTGAGGGACCACCCCCTGCGCACCCCCTATGGTGTCGAGAAAGTGCCACGCCTGCTATGCCCTGGACGACCGTGTCGGATAGCGGCCGCGCTGAGAGACCACCCCCTGCGCACCCCCTTTGGTGTCGAGAAAGTGCCACGCCTGCTATGCCGTGGACGACGTCGTGCATAGCGGCCGCGGTGAGGGACCACCCCCTGCGCACCCCCTGTGGTGTCGAGAAAGTGCCACGCCTGCTATGCCTTGGACGACCGGCGCGCATAGCGGCCGCGGTGAGGGACCACCCCCTGCGCACCCCTATGGTGTCGAGGAAATGCCACGCCTGCTATGCAATGGACGACCGTCGTGCATAGTGGCCGCGGTGAGGGACCACCCCCTGCGCACCCCCAGTGGTGTCGAGAAAGTGCCACGCCTGCTATGCCCTGGACGACCGTCGTGCATAGCGGCCGCGGTGAGGACCACCCCCTGCGCACCCCCTATGGTGTCGAGAAAATGCCACGCCTGCTATGCCCTGGACGACCGTCGTGCATAGCGGCCACGGTGAGGGACCACCCCCTGCGCACCCCCTATGGTGTCGAGAAAGTGCCACGCCTGCTATGCCCTGGACGACCGTCGTGCATAGCGGCCGCGGTGAGGGACCACCCCCTGCGCACCCCCCATGGTGTCGAGAAAGTGCCACGCCTGCTATGCCCTGGACGACCGTTGTGCATAGCGGCCACGGTGAGGGACCATCCCCTGCGCATCCCGTATGGTGTGGAGAAAATGCCACGCCTGCTATGCCCTTGACGACCGTCGTGCATAGTGGCCGCGGTGAGGGACCACCCCCTGCGCACCCCCTATTGACCCGAGAAAATGCCATGCCTGCTATGCCCTGGACGACCGTCGTGCATAGTGGCCGCGGTGAGGGACCACCCCCTGTGCACCCCCTATGGTGTCGAGAAAATGCCACGCCTGCGATGCCCTGGACGACCGTCGTGCATAGCGGCGGCGGTGAGGGACCACCCCCTGCGCACCCCCTTATGGTGTCGAGAAAGTGCAACGCCTGCTATGCCCTGGACGACCGTCGTGCGTAGCGGCCGCGCTACGGGACCACCCTCCGCGCACCCCGTATGGTGTCGAGAAGCTGCCACGCCTGCTATTCCCTGGACGACCGTCGTGCATAGCGGCCGCGGTGAGGGACCACCCCCTGCGCACCCCCTATGGTGTCGAGAAAGTGCAACGCCTGCGTGCTCTGCTGTGCTGTGCTGTGCCGAGCTGAGTTGTGCTGTGTTGTGCTGTGCTGAGCTGAGCTGAGCTGTGCTGTGCTGTGCTGTGCTGAGTTGAGCTGAGCTGTGCTGAGCAGTGCTGTGCTGTGCTGCGCTGTGTGAGAAGGGGAGGAGGGAGGAGGAGGTGAAGGGGAACGCGGGTGCGGCGCGGCAGGGAAGAAAACCAGACCCCCACTAAGCATGTGGGGAAAAACCGAAACCGACTTCCTGGTGGGGTGCTCTTTGTTTCAGTACGATCTCACCCCTTCGCCTCCGATGACGAAGTGTCAGGCGACCCGCCGCCAGACCAGACCGCCGCTGGACCGCTGCCAGACCAGGCGGCCCAGGGCTCCCCGTCGTCCCTGTGGGAGTCCTTTGTATTTTCTTTTGCCACGATGAGAATCCCTTAGCGGGGCGCTACTTGGGAAGCAGCCGGGACAGGGCTGAGAGCGTTGTCATGTGCACCTTGGTGTGTTTTCTATAACGGATCGTGGCTGCTGGGACCAAAAATATGGCCGGCATCGACCCTTGAGTAAACAATGAGGAAGTCTGAGGCGAAACCGCCGCTGGACTGCCTCTGGACTGGCCCGTCTTGGGGGGCGGTATCTAGCTCCCTGTCCCCCTTTTTTGGTCGTGTTTTTTTTTGGGGGGGGGAACCTATTATTAGAATCCCCTAGCGAAGCGCTGCTATGGAAATGCACTGAAGGGCCCGGGCACGGAGGTTTGAGCAAGGGTGAGGCGAGGACGGGGGACGAGCGTCGAGCGATCACGAAGGGCTCTGGGCTACAGGGCACCAGCCGTGCATGGGAACTGCCAGAGAGCGGGGAGGGTGGGGGAGCGGAGTGTCCTCCTCCTCCTCCTCCTCCTCCTCCTCCTCCTCCTGGATTCCCTTCGGGGATCATCCGTTAAAATTGGAACGATACAGAGAAGATTAGCATGGCCCCTGCGCAAGGATGACACGCACAAATCGAGAAGTGTATACAATTTGTAATTCCGACGCTGGGCCTCCTCCTCCTCCTCCTCCTCTTTTTCGTCCTCCTCCTCACGAGGAGGCCCCAAGTCATCCAATGTATTGAATCTCTTCGCGCGGGGTCCCCGGAGATCTTGGACCGTTTCGCGGGGCCGGCTCTCCATCCCGGGTCGTCTCTCGACGCTCCCGGGGCCTGGCGAGGGCCCCAGGGGCGCGCCAGCGAGGAAATCACCACCCACCAAACCACCCCAACCCAACCCGAAGGCTCAGATTTACCCTCGATTTCCAGTGGGGGGGGGTCGGTAAACATCGAAAAAACACGTATGGAACCCATACCCCCCCCAACCCGAAATTCGGGTCTTCGGGTTGGGTTGGGGTGGTCTGGTAGGTAGTCAGGAAAAGCCTCCGCCCGGAGCTTCTCGGGGCGCGTGAGGTCTGGGTCCCAGGGGCCTCCCATTCCTGGCCGACCTGATGGGGGAAGCCCACAGATACCGCCGCCGCTGCGCCCTGGACCTCTTCCGGGGTGCGTTCTGATCAGAACCTCGAGGCGAATCCAGCAACGGCGACAAGGGCCTCCCAGGAGCCACCAAATGGCGAAAACAAGGCAAGAGTACGGTCGGATCGAGGCATGAGGTTAAGGTTGGCTCGGGGAGGCTACCCTACTGTTCTTCGTGCTTGGGTGGAAGTTCTTGATGTTCTTGCGCATCCTGTGGGAGGGTGCCCTCGAAGGTTCTTCAGTTTGGCTGACGGAGGGTCCCATGTTCTTGAAGGATGTTGTTCTGTCCAGGGTCCGACCGTACTTTCGGAGGTTCGCGCGCATTTCTTGGATCGGCGCTGGGACCCCCCCTGGCAGCGCGCGGCGAGAGTTTACGCGTACCCTGGGATCCGACGTTGCAAAAGTAGTGCAACATCATGTCCAGAAAACGCTCTGAGCCCTAGACCCTACCTTTCTGCGCCATTTTTCGAGCCGGATCGACCCTCTGAGTCCCTTCCCGGCGCGCTGCGTCCACCGCCGATCCAGGACATCCGCGCGGACCTCCGACATGTGATGTTTATGGAGTTGCCAGATGCCTCCCAGAGGGGGCCCGTGTGGATGGGCGTCCAAGGGACTTGCATCCAAGGATTTCGGTGGAAAATCATGGGAGCCTTGTGTGCCTTCGTAATTCTGTCTGTAGCGTGGTTCAGCGTCGATTAGCGTCGGGGAATCGGCTAGCATCGGTAGTGCCGATTTAGTATCGGCTAGCGTCAAACTAGCCTCGATTAGCGTCGATTTTGCGTCGATGAGCGTCGGCTCGCAAGAGCTGACTGGATGGGATGGGAGGCTCCCATGAGTTTCAGAATGCAGGCCAAGGCTGGCAAACCCGTGGCTGCTAAAACGGAGCTCGGGGAAATTGTTTTTTCTTCCGGGAAGCAGCCCGTTTATCATCTACTGCGCTGAGTTTTATTTTGGGAATATTCATCTTCTTCCGGGAAGACTGCTTCAGCAGCCATGGATTTGCCAGCACACCCTCGCCCAGTTTCCGAGAGTTGACACCGAGAAGGGGCTTCTTGTGTCCTACAGGCCTCGGAAAAATAGCGAACACTCATGCCACATTCATCTGTCAACGCCTACCCTTCCTCCCAACGTTCAAAGTTGGCGGTGGGTCTGATGAGTTGCACTTCGACCGCGCGTGCCAACTTTGAGTTTGGGGGGAGGGGGAGTGTTCAGTAATTGTTTCCCTCTACCGTAGCGATACAGTCGGATCGAGGTATAAGGTCGAGGTCGGTTTCGGGAGGGTGCCTTCATGCTCTTCGTGCTTGTTGGATGCTCTTGCACATCGCGGGGAGGGTGCCCGTGGCTGCTCTGTGTGCGTTGGCCGGCCGAGGGCCTCCTGTTCTTGAAGGATGCTCCTCTGGTCTCGGCTCGGCTAGACGCAAGAGTGACCCTTCGCCGGAGTGACCTTTGGTGCGGACCCAAATGGGCCCCCCGATCGCCGAACGCGCTGCGATATCAGCGGCCTGCGCGCTTGGGTTTGGCTCCCCCGCGCCCCCCTATTGCCGCGCACCAAAGGTCACTCTTACCCAGGGTCACTCTTGCGTGTAGCCGATAGGTTCGATGGTATCGCCAGAGGTGGGAGGTGTTCAGTAAATGCTTCCCTCCACCGTAGGTCCGACGGTAGACGCATCGGAGCATTTTCCTCCTCCGAGTCTCGGGGCGCGCGCCCGCCCAGGAGCGGTGGCAGGCGCTGCACTGGGCCGCCCGCGCGGGCCACGCGGACGCCGCTCGGCTCCTGCTGTGGTGCTCCGCCCGCCTCCTCCTCCTCCTCCTCCTCCTCCTCCTTCGGCTCCTCCTGCTGTGGTGCTCCTCTCGAGCACCTCCTCCTCCTCCTCCTCCTCCTTCTCCTCCTCTTTCTCCTCATCTCGAGCTCTTCTTCCTCCTCCTCCTCATCTCGCCCTCTCTCCTTCTCCTCTTCCTCCTCCTCCTTCTCCTGCTCATCTCGAGGTTGTTCTCCTCCTCCTCCTCCTCCTCCTCCTCCTCTCGAGCTCCTCCTTCTCCTCCTCCTCGTCCTCCTCCTCCTCCTCCTCGTCCTCCTCCTCCTGCTGTGGTACTCCGCCCGCGTCGACGCCCAGAGCTCCGGCGGCGTGCAGGCGATACACCTCGCGGCCGCGAGCGGTCACCGGCAGGCCGTGCTCGTCTCGAGGAGGTAACGCGGCACAGACACAGACTTTTGCCAGAGGTGGAAAACTGGTAGGGTCTGGACGCGGCAGGTGGTCGCGAGGGCGTTTCTTCGAAGTGCCCTCTATGGCACCCCGGGTATTTCGAGAAGCTCCAAGCTTGTGCTGTGAGAGGCAGAGGGGAGAGAAGAGGGAGGGCGGGGGGACGGGGGGAGGGGGAGGAGGAACGGGAGGGGACTGGGAGGAGGACGATGGGGAGGAGAAGGAGGAGGAAGAGGAGGAGGAGGAGGAGGAGGAGGAGGAGGAGGAGGAGGAGGAGGAGGAGGAGGAGGAGGAGGAGGAGGAGGAGGAGGAGGAGGAGGAGGAGGAGGAGGAGGGGGGGCGTCGCTAGAAGCCAGGGGAGGAACACTGGTGGCCAGCCTGAACTGCGCAGCGCAGCGGGCGCCTGCCGTCCTGCGGGGGCGCCAGCTGTGCGCATACGGTGAGGTCATCGGGTAAGGGAGGCTCGGATGAGGAACCCAGGATCTGGAGTCGAAGGGGAACATGCGCCATAGACGTAAACTTTTGGCGCTCCGCGCGGATTTCTTGGATCCGCGCTGGGCCCCCCAGCGGCGCCTCCACCCCTGGCGCGCGGAGCGCGCCAGGGAGGGGGGTCCAGGTCAGATCCAAGAAATCCGCGCAGAGCGCCAAAAGTTTATGTTTATGGCGTTTCTTCTTCTTCTTCTTGTTCTATGGAAGAAGGTGGGGCTCCCATCGTGGATTGGCCATGGATATCGCCGCCGCCCTCATCAGATCAGGAATCCTCCAGGGTCTGGAGCCTCCTGGGCACATTTCTTAGCGAACGCCCCAACCGTACAGGCCCTTGCGTTTCAATTTTTCGGGCAGGGCGTTTTTGCCCAGATCCGGGCCTCAAGGGCCCTCTCAGAACGAACCAGCTTGAAAAATGGTGCCGAAAGATGGGGTCCAGGGCTCTCACGATGTTGTATTGGGTCCGCGACATCGCATCTCAGGGAAGACCCGTACCCCCTGGCGTCGTTCAAAAATCACGGCGGAAGCTTTTTGTTTGTTGCTATTTTTGGCATCCATGGCCTTTGACCGATCTCTAGGACCGTGAACAAACAACTTAGGATGAAAAGCCAGTCCCAGGGAATGGTTCGAGACCTCTGGGGGTCAAAGTTACGAAACATTGCGACGTTTGGGGTCTGAGGATATCGGTACCGCTACTCGTCCTGGAGAGCCCTCGTCGCCACGCTTGGATTCTCGTCGTAATTCTGGTCAGGACGCTCCCTTGGAGAGGTCCTGGGAATATGATTCTTTCCCCATTTCGGAGGTCCGCGCAGATTTTCGGATCGGCGCTGGATCCCCCCCCCCCCTGGCGCCGCCGCTCCAAGAAGTCCGCGCGGAGCTCCGAAATCGGCTACGCGTAAGAGTGGCCTCTCGCTGGAGCGACCTGCAGTGAAGTGCGGGCCCGCGTGGGCCCCTCCTGCACTGGCTTGTGCGCTTGGGCTTGCCTTCCCGGCGGCCCCCTGAAGCCGCGCACCAAAGGACACTCTTGCCTTGGGTCACTCTTGCGTGTACGTTGACGACGAACCTGGGCCCCCGACGCCACGATTCTTTCATGACGTCGACCCCCAGAGGTCTCGACCCGTTCCCCAGGACCAGCTTTCCATCCCGAGTCGTCTCTTCACGGCCCCGAGGCCCTGCAAGGGCCCCCGAAGGCCGAAAAAGGCAAAACGCCTCCCGTCGTGATTTGCTCATACCTCGAGGGGGTCTGGGTCCTCGCGACCCAGGCGAGCCCAGAATCGAATCGATAAGTCGGATCGGCGATCGAAATGAATCGGATCGGCGGAAATCGGCAGCAAAGTCGGGAGAACTCGAATCGGCAGAGATCGGCAGGCTAGTAGGCATCCCCTGAGAAATCGGAGCCCGAATCGGCATCCGAGGTCGAATCGGATCAGAATCGGAAGCCATCGAAATCGAATCGAATCGGAGGAACCGAAACGAGCCCCGTCGTGATTTGCTCGTACCTCGAGGGGGCCTGGGTCCTCGCGACCCAGGCGAGGCCCGTTCCCCTGGACCGGCGAGGCGTTTTCTTTGATAGCCCCAGAGGCCCGGCGAGGGACCCCCGAGGCCGAATATGTTACCAAGCACCGTCCGCCGTGGTTTTTCGTGACCTCAGCCTCCTCCTCCTCCTCCTCCTCCTCCTCCTCCTCCTCCTCCTCCTCCTCCTCCTCCTCCTCCTCCTCCTCCTCCTCCTCCTCCTCCCTCCTCCTCCTCCTCCTCCTCCTCCTCCTCCCTCCTCCCTCCTCCCTCCTCCCTCCTCCCTCCTCCGTCCTCCCTCCTCCCTCCTCCCCCCGGTCTTGCGTGCAGGCGACGGAAGTTTGTGTGTCGTGCCGCTTCCTCTTCCTCGACCCGTCCTGCTGTCGTTCGGCGCCAAGGCCTCCGCGCGGGACGCGGACGTCGGAGGGCACCAACTGCAACTCCATACCCGTCCCGGCCATGCCTGTCATGGGTCCCGGATCGGCGCACATGCCATCCTGCACATGCCAGGACGGCGCACACACCGATCCTGGGCCCAGAATGGGGCTGGCCAGGATCGGTGTGCCCTGGGATCCGACGCTGCGCACAAGTTGCAACATCGCGAAAAATTGCGACGGGAGCCCTGGACCTCATCTTTCGGCGACATTTTTGGAGCAAGATCGTTCTGTGAGGGTCCTTTGGGCCCAGATCTGGGCGAACACGCCCAGTGTGAAAAAATCGCAAGGCCAGGATCTCAGGGTACGGTGGGGGCGTCTGTTGAGGAGTGTGCCCAGGAGGCTCCAGACCCTGGGGGATTCCTGATCAGATGAGGGCCGCATTGGCATGTCGTCGCGCCGTTTGTTCCGACGCGCAGCCTCACGTCTTGCGGAGGGCGCCTCGGCCACGTGGGCAAACGCCGCCTCGGTTGCAGGGTTTGCCGTGGGGTTTGGCGCGTGGCGGCCTCGTCCATTTGGGGTGCGGGACGCAGGGTTTGCCGTGGGTTTGCCGTGGTGTCGGCGTCGTCCACTGGGGCGCGTTCAAAACACTGGCGCGGCGGCATATCCATGGCCAAACCACGATTGGAGTCCCACTGGCTTCCAGACCCTGAAGGCCTCATCTAAGGGTTTTTCACCGTGACGGCGCGCACAAGGGGGTATGGGGGAGGGGCGACAGCTTCTTAGAAGGAGGCTGCTTCTTAGAAGGCGCGGGCCCTACATCTGCAGATGTAAGGCCCACGCCTTCTGAGAAGCAGGGGTGCTTCTAAGAAGCTGTCCCCCCCTCCCCCAGTCCAATTCTTTGCGTGGCCGACCTCGTTTCTCTCCCCTCCCCCTCCCCCTCCCCTACACTCGAAACCTATGGTAAGGATGGGTAACATTCCCAAGGGTATCCTTGCATCCGCACCTCTTTGGTTCATCCTTGACTACTCTTGATGGCCCGATGCGCTCGAAAAAACTTCAACACCACCGTCCAAGGGGCTTGCATCCTTACTGTCATTTATGACTGTGCCCCAGCGATGCGGACCGATTACCCCGATGTCCACCCTCCCCGTTTGCGCACAGATGGGGTCATGATGTTCCAACCTATTTTAGGCTGGATCGCCAGCAAGAATTTGGAGCACCAAGAGAGAGTACCCAAATTGCAGGGTTTTCACGCGTCGGGTCCTAGGAGGCGATACTCCTTCGACACTTCGCTGGCGTGTCGGGCAGACGCCGTTTCGATACCTTTCCGGGTGCTCGAAACTATTTCTGGGATGTGGTCCTGAAGTGCGATGGGAGCAACATACCCAGACCCCCGACGTCATGATTTTTTCATGACGTCGACCCCAGGGGTCTCGACCCGTTCCCCTCGCCCGGTTTTTCATCCTGAATCGTTTCTTGACGGTCCCGCGGCCCATTAAGAGCCCCCAGAGGTGGAAAATGGCGAAAAAGCTTGCGTTATCACTTGTTCCTGACTGAAGGGAACGCCTGCTACGCATGGAATGAAGGGGGTATCAAGTGGTGAGTTGGATCCGTGAGTGGATCAGCCTGGAATGTCGATGAGCAGAGGCTTTGATGCCGCTTTTTGGTTGTGGGCCCGCTATGATGCCGGTCCATGCCCATCCCCCCCCGTCGCCAGGGACTTCGCATCCCCCTCTGATGGTGGGATGGGGCTCACGGTCCGCCTCCCCCGGCACTGCACGTACTGTGCCGGGCTCGTGGGGATCTTGGTGAATTCTGTGCATGTCCCCTCCCTCCCCCTTCCCGCCCCGCCGTGTACGCCCAGAGCAGGCGTTCCTTTTCCTGTGCAAGCTCCTCGGCACCGCCTGCACCCCGGCCCGCCCTCCGGCCGCCTGAGGCCCCGCCCGCCTGTGCTCTGTCTCCCCAATTAGTGCTTTGCGTGGCCCGCCTAGCTCTTAACCGGAAGAGGCTCGCTCTCGACGCGCAGACCAAAAAGTGTACGCCCAGAGCGCCACGCCTGGTCCTCCCCAGGACGCCATGCGCCCGCTGCACTGCGCGGCGCAGGCCGGCCACCGCTCGTGCCTGGCGGCGCTGCTGCAGGCCGAGGCCGCCGGCGGCGCCGCGGAGAGCGGCCCGCCCTGCACTGCGGGCGCCTGGCGCCCGCTGCACGTGGCCGCCCGCGCCGGGCACCTCGCCGCCGCCTCCGCGCTGCTGGCGGCGAAGGCCCAGGTCGCCGCCAGGGCTCGTTTCGGTTCCTCCGATTCGATTCGATTTCGATGGCTTCCGATTCTGATCCGATTCGACCTCGGATGCCGATTCGGGCTCCGATTTCTCAGGGGATGCCTACCAGCCTGCCGATCTCTGCCGATTCGAGTTCTCCCGACTTTGCTGCCGATTTCCGCCGATCCGATTCATTTCGATCGCCGATCCGACTTATCGATTCGATTCTGGGCTCGCCTGGGTCGCGAGGACCCAGACCCCCTCGAGGTATGAGCAAATCACGACGGGAGGCGTTTTGCTTTTTTCGGCCTTCGGGGGCCCTTGCAGGGCTTCGGGGCCGTGAAGAGACGACTCGGGATGGAAAGCTGGTCCTGGGGAACGGGTCGAGACCTCTGGGGGTCGACGTCATTAAAGAATCGTGGCGTCGGGGGTCCGGGCTCGTTGCCAACGTACACGCAAGAGTGACCCAAGGCAAGAGTGTCCTTTGGTGCGCGGCTTCAGGGGGCCGCCGGGAAGGCAAGCCCAAGCGCACAAGCCAGTGCAGGATGGGCCCCTGCGGGTCCGCACTTCACTGCAGGTCGCTCCAGCGAAAAAAAAGAAAAAACTCTTGCGGCCGATGTCGGAACTCCGCGCGGACTTCTTGGAGCGGCGGCGCCAGGGGAGGGAGAGGCACGGGTGCCCTCTCTTCTTCCACGTCGGGCGCTCTCTCGCCTGGCTGTGCTCTCCGGGGGGGCCTTTGCGGAGCCGACCAGCTCGAGACGTGGCGCAGAAGGATGGGGTCTAGGGCTTTGGGCGTGTTCTTTCGCGATGTTTGAATCTTTTTTGCAACGCCGAATCTCAGGGCCGCGCTACCATTCCCTCGTTGTCGCATTTTTATAGCATTCAGGTCAGAACCCTTGCCTTCGTTGTCGCCCTGTGGGCATTTTGGGAGGACCGCGTCGCCACGGCTGGATTCGCCTCGACATTCTGGTCAGAGCCTTTCCCGTCGTTTTCGCCCTTTCGGCACCCGGGGAGGCCCTCCATCGGCATCGGCGGCCGCTGTTCTGTTCGCATTTTCATTTGATCAGGGATGTTTTCGGAAGCATGCTGCAGCCACTCTGTTCGGTCGTTGCTGGCGCTCGGACGCCGACCATCTAGAGGATTCTCCCACCTCTCTTGGAGCATGTGGGCTGCGCCGCAGTTGATTATAAGAAAATGGCTGAACTCGCCTCGATTGTTTCTTTGGATTCCCCGAGGTCGGCGCCGAGGGCCCCGGCGCCGTGACGCCCCTCCACGCCGCAGCGCGGGGTGGCCAGGGGCCCTCGAACGGTGTGGTGGCCACGCCGTGTGGTGCGTCAGTGACGGCTCGGGGGGCTCGGGCCGATCCACCGAAGCCGTCTCGAGGGAGGCTGCGCGGGTTCGGGGCTCGGGCCGCTCCACCGAGGACGCCTCGGGCAGCAGCTGGGGCCTCCAGGTTCCCCAGGCGGTGTGGTGGCATGGTCCTCCTCCTCCTTCTCCTCCTTCTCCTCCTTCTCATCCCTCCTCCTCCTCCTCCTCCTCCTCCTCCTCCTCCTCCTCCTCTCGAGCTCCTCCTCCGACGGCACCGCGCGGTCCGTCGCCGCATCGTCTTGGGGCCCCCGAGCGCCGAGGTGGGCACCGCGAGCTGCTGGCGCTCCTGGCCAGCCGCGGGGCGCGGGCCGAGGCGGCCGACGGCAGCGGCCGGCGGGCCGTCCACGAGGCTGCGGCGCGCGGCCACGCCGCCGCGCTCGGGGCGCTGCTGGAGCTGGGGGCGTGCGCCGACGGGGAGGCGCCCCAGCGGCCGGCACCGTCCGAGGAGGAAGAGGCCCCGAGGCCGCTGCTCGAGCCCGGCTGTGGCCTTCGTGGGCCCTTCCTGGGGCTCGCCGCCGCTGGATTTTGCCCAGCCTTCGCCTTCGTGGGCCGCCCGTGAGGCCCTCGTCGCCGCCGCGGGGCTCGCCTCGAAGGCTTGGCCAGAGCGCGCCCCGGGAGAGGTCCGTGGAGCAGCGGCATCGGTGCCTTTGGGTTCCCCCACACAGGCCACGAGATCTGGGCGCCTCTGTCTCTCGTCGCACCTCTGGCGCTTTCGTCGCGCGGCCCGTCGGGGGGCCCGAGGTGGGCCCCCCACGGGCCAGTCCGGCTCGAGAGGTGCCCCGAAGGAGGATGTCGGCTACGCGTAAGAGAGGCCTTTCGCTGGAGTGACCTTTGGTGCGGGCTCACAGGGGTGGTTCCAGCACTGGCCCGCCCGCTTGGATTCGGGCCCTTCGCGGTCTCCTAAAGCCGCGTACCAGAGGTCGCTCTTGCCCAGTGTCACCTTGTGTGCAGTCGAGGATGAGGTCTGCGGGGGTCCCGTCGTGATTTCCTGGCGACCTGTTTTTCCCAACCATCCTGTGGTGTTGGGTCCTCGTTTTGAAGAGACGGTCCCCGCGTTCCTCCTTCCTCCCTCCTCCCCCTCCCCCCTTCTCCTTGCGTTTCACCCACCCAGCACAGCGTTTCGTGACCCCATAGGGAGCTCCACCGAAGGCCCCAGTGGCAGGGTTCGCATGCCGGCCTCGGGCCATTTCGCCATGGCTCAATAAGGCATCCGCTCAAGGCATCCGCTCATCCTACTACTCCTTTTCCATCACGCAATTCCTTTTTCTCTTACGCCACCCTTGTGGGCTGCTGTTGCCATGACGGAAAAGCATATCATTTCTTCTCCTGAGCCGCGACGCTCGGCTTTGAAAGGTGGGCAGGACAAAATGGCCCGCACTGGCAACTCGCCGCTCTAGGTCGACCAAGAAGGCACAAGCTCGCGTCAGGACCTGTTCGAACAGCAGCTGAATAACGCCGACAAGAATAACACCACGGGCACCAACGTGGCTCCTGGAGTGGCTCTGACTGCAGAGACGCTCAAAGCCATCCTGAACGAACAGTTGGAACCGATCCGCAACGACACCACAGCCATCAAGACATCTGGGATCTCGCGTGAGGCCCTTGACACCGCAGTGAAACCTCTTCAAGCATCAATCGACGACATTACCAAACGTGTATCGGCTTTGGAAACTTCGTCCCAGCCGTCATCAGCAAAATTCGCAGCGACAGTGGACTCGACTACCAACGCCAAACTACTGCAGTTGGAGATGGACATCGAAGCAATGAAGCAGCAACGAGATACTCCAGCACGTCCAGCAGCACACGTCACCCACAGCACCAACAGCATCACAGACAAGAGGACATCACTGCTGTCATCGGAAACCTCGACGAGTTCGACACCTTGAGGGATGCAAGCGGTTGGATCAAACAGGAACTACAACGTCTAGGGGCACCGGCGCCAACCAACATGTATGCCAAGGGGGAATTCAACGCAATGCTATCCATAGAGTTTCTCAGCATTGACGACAGAAACCTTGCGGTTGGCCAGATTCGGACCGCCAAGATCAACAAGAGCGGGCAGATTTGGGCTAGAAGCGATCGTCCACCACTGATCCGTGCTGCACGCAACTATTGCTTTGGCGCCAACTACATTTTGAAGGACACAATGGGCATCACTTATCCCATACGCGTCGACGACACAGACTAACCATACACGGTTACAGTTGGGTGGAGAGTTGGCTCTTACCGTGAAGATTGATGGAGGCACGGTTCTCCGGGAGTGGCCCCCTGGAGAATGGGCAGCTTGAGCCTTGCACAACCACGCAACATTGACAGCTTACCGCGAAATGTGATGAGATCGTCACCCGTGCCGTGAAGAATCTAAAAGGATCCGCAAAGGGGGGTCCAAAGGGTCCAAGTAGGACGCATGGCGGGCCCTGGTAGCCTCCGCCAGCGCCCGAGCCACAACATAACAAGATCTATTCTGTTCTTCCGGACGTGGAGATCACGGGCAAAGACACCGACACATCCACTCGTCTGGTTCCACATCTTCCCGATCCTCCTGACCTCTTCCTCGTCTCTATTCGTCTTTTTTTGCAGGTGTTACTGTGAGTTCGGGCAAAGTTACCAATTCCGACAGTTCCCCAGCGACCATTACTTCCAGGACAGACTTCGGGATGCCCACCGCTTTGGTTCCAGATGTTGCTGACCCTCCTGAGCCTTATCCTCAACATTCTTTTCTCTACGACGGGCCCTCCCATGATCAGGATCATGGAGCTGAACGCCCAGAGTATTACCACACCTCCGACAACCGCCAGAACCGTATTGGGAACGACACTGCCCGGAGCTGTCCGGCAACCGTCCCTCCCACTGCACAGGAGTCTGGACGGGTACGATCGCTTCGGCGAGACGCTGCTGCCCGACCTCTGCCCCTACCAACGGGCTTCGGCATCTCACCTCTACCTCCAGCTCAGCACTCCGACCTCGAGATTCGAACAATCGACTTCCCACCTCCACTTCCACCTCTGCCTATCGACCTCCAGCGTTCAGCAGCCCAGCACTCCGACCTCCACCCTCCAGCAGCATGTGACCTTCCACCTCCACCTCCACCCATCGACTTCCGGCGTCGAGCAGCGCAGCACTCCGACCTCCACCCTCCAGCATCCGACTTTCCACCTCCACCTCCAGCTACCGACAACCAGCGTCCAGCAACTCAGCACTCATACCTCCACCCTCTGGCAGCATGTGACCTCCCACCTCCACCTCCACAACGACCTCCAGCGTCCAACAGCTCAACACTCCGACGTCCACCCTCCAGCATCCAACTTTCCACCTTTACCTCTACCTTCACCTACCGACCTCCAGCGTCCAGCAGCGCAGCACTTCAACCTCCACCCTCCAGCAACGTGTGACTTTCCGACTCCACCTCCACCCATCGACCTCCAGCGTCCATCAGCTCAACACTCCGACCTAAACCCTCCAGCATCCGATTTTCCACCTCCACCTCCACTTGTCGACCTCCAGCGTTCAGCAGCGCAGCACTCCGACCTCCACCCTCTGGCAGCATGCGACTTTCCACCTTTACCTCCACCATGAGCTCAACGTCCACATCAGAGCTTTGGGGGAGGCCGCGGAGCACTCAGGCACGTGAGTGGCGACGTTCCGGTAAGCAACCCAACGCATTGGCCCCAGTTTCACGACCAAGGAGAACAACGAAGCATCAACAATGAGCCAGCAGACACGTGCAGCGCACACCTAGAGACCAGTACAGCACCTCCACCTCCACCTATCGACCTCCAGCGTTTAGCAGCTCAGCAGTCCGACCTCCACCCTCCAGCAGCATGTGACTTTCCACCTCCACCTCCACCCATCGACCTCCAGCGTCCAGCAGCGCATCACTCCGACCTCCACCCTCCAGCAGCATGCGCCTTTGCACCTCCACCTCCAGCCATCGAGTGCAGACTTCCTCTTACCTGCAGATACCACGCCAACTTTGATTCCGATCCTGGCTCCCTGCTCAACCACTCCGGCTCCACGATCCGGCTAAGGACAGCATGGGGCCAATCACCAACGATTGATATCCCCATCCCTCCCCCCTCCCACCGCCTACTCCGACCCACGGGCCCTGGAAGGGACATGTCTCAATTAAAGGGCGTCTTTCCCAAAGGAGCCATACCAGGAGGATCGGCCCAGGACAGAACCCTACCTCAGGTGTCACCCGCCCCCCTTGGCGTTTCACCACCAGCGGTTACAGGGACGACGCTGGCTTCAAGACAGAGAATTGTTTCTCCGACTCCTGCTTCTAATTCTGACCTCGGCCTGGAGTGCTATCACATCTTCGACTACCGCCGGAGCCGTCTTGGGAATGTCACGGACGTGGGCAAAGATACCACTTCCAGGAGCTGTCCGGCAACCGTCCCTCCCACAGCACAGGAGTCTGTACAACCAGTCCTGCTACGAGACGTTGCTGCCCGACTTCTTCGTCAACATCTGCCCGCAGGCATCAACATCTCACTTTCACCTCCACCTATCGACCTCCAGCTTCACACATCCGACCTCTCACTTCCACCTCTACCTATCGACCGTCAGCCCCACCTGACATACATCCAGTTTCGACCTTCCAACTCCGAGCATCCACCACCAGCTTTCGACTTCCAATCTTCAACCTCCGGCCTTCGACCTCCGCCTCCACCTATCGACTTCCAACGTCCAGCAGCTCAGCGCTCGGACCTCCACCCTCCAGCAACGTGTGACTTTCCGACTCCACCTCCACCCATCGACCTCCAACGTCGACCACCTCAGCACTCCGATCTGCAGCCTCAAGCGTCCGACTTCACCTCCACCTCCACCTCCACCTGTCAGCAACCGGCGTCCAGCAGCTCAGCACTCCGACCTCCACCCTCCAGCAGCACGTGACTTTGCACCTCCACCTCCGCCCATCGACCTTCAGCGTCGACCAGCTCAGCGCTCCGACCTTTACTCTCCAGCATCCGACTTTCCACCTCAACCTCCACCTCCAGCTCTCGACAACCGGCGTCCAGCAGCTCAGCCCTCCGACCTCCACCCTCCAGCAGCATGTGACTTTGCACCTCCACCTCCACCCGCCGACCTCCAGCGTCGACCAGCTCAGCACTCCGACCTCCAGCCTAAAGCATCCAAGCTTCCACCTCCACCTCCGCCTATCGACGTCCAGCGTCCAGCCGCTCCGCACTCTGACCCCCAGCCTCCAGCAGCATGTGACGTGCCACCGTCGCCTCCACCCATCGACCTGCAGCGTCAACCAGCTCAGCACCCCGACGTCCACCCTCCAGAAGCCGACTTTCCACTTCCACCTACACCTGTCGACCTCCAGCGTCAACCAGCTCTGCACACCGACCTCCAGCCTCAAACATCCGACTTTCCACCTTTACCTCCACCTGTCGACCACCAGTCTCCAGC